GACCGGCGCCGCTCGGGTGGATGTGCCGGCCGTCACGCTGTCGGACGAGCACGCCAAGCTGCTGCTCGACCAAAGCCACACGCCGCCCTCCCTGCCCGAACTGCACGCCCGCTTCGCCGGTGAGCCGCTGGACCCGGCCTGGTCCCAGCAGATGGAGGCGCAGCTGCGCCAGTCGCTGCAGGACGCCGGGGTGCAAAAGGGTTTCGAGCTGCTCGCCGTGGAGTGCCGCCGCACGCTGTGCGAGCTGCGCCTCTTCGGCACCGGGCCGGACGCCGGCCAGCGCTGGAGCGGCATCACCGGCCAGCTCGGTCAGCAGGCGTGGTGGGGGCAGAACTTCTCGGGCACCAGCTCGTCCACCACCGGCATCAACGACCGCTCGGTCATCGCGACGCTGCTGCACCGCAAGAAGCCCTGAGCCGCCGCGCGGGCGGCCCGCGGCCGCGTCAGCGCGACTTCATCTTCTCGGCCAGGCAGTGCTGGACGACGCCGTAGTCCTGGAACAGCATCCAGCGCATCTGCTCGTACGAGTACAGCTCCGCGACGATGGCCTGGGCGAGGCCGCAGTTGTGCGTGATCAGGTGCGCGGCCAGCAGGCCGGCCATCTCGTTGCGCACCTGCCCCTGGGTGCCGTGGTACTTCTTGTAGGCCAAGCGCCCGACGGCGTAGACCGTCTCCAGCAGGCCCACGCCCGGCACCGCGCCGGTGACCTTGCGCAGCGCCTTCTCGCCCTTCTGCGCCAGGATGTAGCTCAGCACCAGGCCGCCCACCTTGCCATGGGCTGCCACGTCCTCGCGCCCCTTGTCCTGCAGCACCGGGCGGCAGTCGTAGCACTGGCGCATGCCGTCGATCTTCTCCAGCGCGTCGCAGTGCTTCAGCGTCTTGTGCGCGGACACGGCCGACAGGGTCGACAGCGTCAGCGTCGCCGCCGCGCCCGTCACCACCAGGCCCCAGGCCGATGCCCGTGGCCGAGGCCGCCGCGCCGCCCACCGTCAGCGCCAGGATGCTGGGGCTGGCCGTGGCGTACTGCGCGGCGGTGATGCCCGGGCCCGTCGCCAGCAGACCCTTCTTGGCCAGCGACTTCATCGTGCCGCTGCCGACCGATTGGCCGTCCGGGAAGCCGTTCGGGAACTGCTTCTTCCAGTGGTTCTCGACCTTGGCCGCGCTGCCGCTCATGGGGTGCCCTGTTACAAGTTGCAAATTAGGGGGCGATTATGGGAAGGTCGGGGGCTGGGCGAACCCCGCGTTTCGGCGGTAGGCGCGGTGGTTCGTGAAGTCCGCGGCACCCCCCGCTACGCCGGGCTGTGCCGGCGCGTCATTGCCCGCCCGACTGCGGGCCGTCGTAGCCCTCGACGATGACGATGTCCACCTCGGCGCACGCCAGGCGCAGCGCAATCAGTGGCGCGTACTCGGGCGAGCGGTAGCAGTCCTGCGCGGCCTGGTAGCTCGGGAACTCGATCACGACGCTCCGGCTGCGGCTCGCGCCCTCGACGGTCTCGGACTGCCCCGCGCGCACGAGGAACCGGCCGCCGAACGCGCCGAGCATCGCGGCGAGGCCTTCGGCATAGCGCTTGTAGGGCTCGGCGTCGGTGACGTCGACGCGGGCGATCCAGTAAGCCTTAGTCATGCGGGCGGCCAGGTCTTGTCACTTCAGCACCAGTTCCTGCAACTCCATGTTGCCTGCCAGCTTGCGCATCACCTTGCGCTCGCCGGAGGACGCGTCCATCTTGTGCGCGTCCATGGCCATGAAGGCCTCGTACTTCTTCTGGATTTCCAGCTGTTGCGCATTCGTCAGGTAGTCCTTGGACTCGATGGCCAGGATCAGGTCGGGCTCGCCCTCGCGCGCGTTGTTCACCTGGAACACGTGGTACGACACGATGTAGCCCTCCTTCTTGCCGAACTCGTTGGATTTCTTCCAGGTCTTGGCCAGGAAGTCCATGTAGTTCTCGAACTGCCCGGGCTCGATCTTGACGTTTGAGAAGTTCCAGACCGTGCCGGGCTTGTAGCTGGAGTCCTGGGCCAGCGCCGTCGTGCCAAGCAGCATCAGGCTCGCGGCCAGCAGGCCCAGTCGTGATCGGTTTCGTGAAATTCATTTCGACGACCTCCTCACCTGTTGCCGCCGGTGAACGCGCTTGCGCGGTGGTGCGCCGGGGCACTGTGCGCCTGCGGGCTGGCTTGCGGTAGGGGAGGTGACGCCCGGGCGCTGACCGGCGTCATTCATCTTCAGGATGCCGGCGTGTGCATCACTGTCGTCGGCTGCGCCCGTCGTAGCCTTGACAGGGTCGGACTGCGCCGCGAGCGCGGGAAACCGGGCCGCCGAACGCGCCGAGCATTTCAGCCGAGCCTTCGGTGTGGCGCTTTTAGGGCTCTGCGTTTGCGAGTCGATGTGGGCGATTCAGTATGCCTTGGGCACCGGTGGCGCCTTGGTGCGAGGCGCGAACCCTGGCTTTGAGCATCAGATTAATGGTCGCAGCAAAGACGGCGACGGCTAGCCTTGGTTGCTAAGACAAACCCTGTAGGGCTAGCTGCGTTACAGCGGGAAACTAGACAACATAACTAACCAAATGGAGAGGAGATGCGCAATGCATAAGCTAAAGGTTAAGGCTCCGCTTCCAACTCTGCAGCATCAAGCATTGCTGTTTTTGGCATTGTCGCTGGAAGAGCAACTATTTGATCTAACAGACGATAGCTTTAAGGCACCGGCCTTAAATACTTTCACAAGAACCTTTGAGTTGCAAACTGTTGCTGCGGCCAACCATTCAGCGGGAATCGCAAAGGATGCGCTGAATCCATTTATCGACGAGCTTGAATGGAGCATTGCTAAAGACGCTGCTTTAAGCACGCAACAACGTTCGTTGTGCAAGCTCCATCTTGACACTATTCGCAAAAATCAAGGTGAGCAAGACCGAATCGTCAGGGGCGCATCCGGCCTTCGGATGGTGCTTGGCGAATATTTTGGATTGATAGTTTCTGCTTTGAGGGAAACTATAGAAAGACATCCGGCAAACAAAGATGAGTTGGTGGCTCTTGCATCATCATTCATTGTTCAAGCGGAGAATATAGGCTATCCGCGCAGACATACATATCACGTTGCACAAAACGTACTAAATAAACGCTTCAGAAATGAAGAGGAATTTGATCCGCTCGTTCTGTTAAATGAGTTCTTAGGCCACTTCTTCACCGAAGAAAGCGGTTTTGCCTGTTTGTTCTTGGCAGAAGGACCATTTGCCGAATTTCCCCGCCTTTGTGAGCGATTTGGTTTTGTTGCTTCCCAGGACGCGCCGACATGGGAGGTTAGGTCGGAACAGCGCCTCTTTATTGATTCAAAGACATCTAACCAAGCCTATTTGCTGCTTGGTGACATTCGTTCATATTGTCCAGCGCAAGCGCATCAAATGGCAGTCGGTTTATTCGAAGAATTTGAAGGGGTGGCGCGCTTCTTTGCTCACAAGGTCCGTTTTGATAAATCGTCACTTGCGCTAGTGCGAGCGACTGAGACCGGGAAGGTCTTTCGAATTCATGAGGCACCCGATCCCATGCACTGTTGGGTCAGTCATCAAATTATTGATGAAGACGAGATGCTTGTTTTCTCCG